AAAAAAAAAAAAAAAAAAAAAGGCGGGACGCCTCCTTCACACGCTGTTATTTCGAGCTCCTCTCTCCGTTGCAGAATGGCTAACGCCAACTCAAACTATTTCTGCAGAGTTGCTGGGCACAGAGTGGAGGTGTGGAGAGGCCTCCTTGAGCCTAGCTCTCAGAAGCAGGTGAGTTACCAGAGGAAGCAGCCGCTTTGCAGCTGCCTTTGATGTGAGAGCTGGAAATTTCAGCAATTAGCTTAATCCTTTCCTCCTGACACGCACTTTATAGGAAAGCAAACACCGTGATTATCCTCCCCCGTTCCCTCTAATCTCTGTCTACACGGCATGCCGACAGATGCTTTTCTGCCTGGCTCTTGGAACCCGGTGTCACAATGAGGCGGGCTGTGTGTGACAGATTGCTAAATCTGGCCACCTCCAGGCAGGGGACTCGGCGTTCAAGTGGTGCTGGCTGCTCTCGCCTCCCCGTGGGGCTGAGGCAGGCTTGGCTTTGGGCAGGCCCAGAACGTTCTGGAAGGCTGCCCTCTGACTCAGGCCATCCTTTGCCCGGAAGGGCAGTCCTCCATCCCTGGCAAAGCCCACTGTGCGTCGCTTGGCTTGCTTAGGATTTAAATCTGGGAATTTGCCCAGAAAAAGCCCCTGTCCCCAGAGAGGAGTATCCGGCCCCAAATGCCATGGTAAACTCGGGCAATCGATCATTTGACAGCAAAATGACTGTCACCCGGTGCTGACCACCTCTGAACACAGAGGGCCCTGTCTGCTTGCAGCCGTGTACCCCTCTCTTTCTCCAGTATTCCCATCCCTCTCACACTTTCTTTTGTCTTTTGAGGCCCCTATTTTGGATCTAGGCCTGGCTGTGAGGCGGAAGTCAGCTCTGCCTCTGAACACTTGTGTTGCCTCTGGGCTGGTTTCTGAGATGCAGTTTTCCCATCTGCAAATTAGTAAATAAAGATTTCTTATTTTGCAAGATCTTTGAGAATTGGGTAAGATCGTGAATACAGTGCTCCTCGTATATACATTAGTGGGAGCTCATTAAATTCAAGGCATTCATGACTATACCGCTGCCCTGACCGTGCGTACTGCTCTAAAGCTTCAGTTCCTTCTGGTTTTTGAAATAATTTCACCTAATATCTCTTCAGCTGCTATAGAAATCGATGCTACATTCCCCAATTTTATTTTTTTTTACTTTTTTTAGGTAAAGTTTTTATTATGCTGGAGGTAACAGATACAAATAGTTGGCAAACTATGACCAACTGACCAGTCTGTGCCGCTGTTTGGTTTAGTAAAAAAGTTTTATTGGTTGTCACCATGCCCATGTAGTTCTGCTTTGACGGAAGCAGCGCTGTGCGCCAAAGGCCAGGCTGAGAACTTCAGGTTTGCACAGTCCATAATGTTTCCTGCCTGTCCTTTGGCAGAAACAGCTTGCTGACTCTGATGTAGACTGTAATTGGTGGAACAGGGCTGAAATAACGTTCATATCTACTGATGGCTCAGCCTGCGGTAGCACAGGAATCGTGCCTTCTCCACGTGAAAAAATAATAATAATAAAATAAAATGGTGACGGCCAATGGAACAATAGCTCGGAAAATTGTGTGTGTTTTCTTTTTCTTTTTCTTTTTTTTCAGTACGGGGATAAAACCTTAGGGAAATCCATGTTTGTCTAACAAACACGTGAGACAAGTGCTCCACCACTGAGCTACATCCCCAGCCCTTTTTTATTTGGAGTTGGTCTGGCTAAGTTGCCCAGGCTGCCTTAACTTTGTAACCCTCCTGCCTCAGCCTCTTGAGTATCTAGGATTCCAGGCAAGCACTACCACACTCAGCCCATACATAGTTTTTGTCAATATAAAATGGTTCTTGCATCCCTTATCCAGGATTCTCAGGGCTCAGAGCAGTGTCCGGCACCAAGAATTTAAGGCTACTGAGGACCAGGGCCCAGGGAAGACATCATGGATTCAAGTTGCACAGCAAGCTCGTGGAGGACTGGGTAGATTCTGAGCTTCCCACTCTGGAGGAACCGGAACTGGGGGCTGGTGCTTATCTCTGCTGCTTCCCTGCTAGCACTCTTGTTACCTATGATGTGCTCTTTATCCCTCTCCCTTGCCTCTTCCCCATCCCCAGACCTGGCTGAGTTTAAGGCTTGCAAAAACTTCTCCAGGGGATAATGTTTCTCTCAGAGGTGCAGAGCTGCGCACCCCATGGGCAGAAACACTCCTCCCCGCTCCCTTTATGTCCCAAGTGTCCCCTCTGCCGAGACCTGGGTGCAGGGAGACCCGGAAGGAGGACAAGTCACGGTGCCTTTCTGTAAGTCGCACACAGTCTAGTAGGGGAGAGAGGGTCAGAGAGTAAAGAAATAGTGATCAGATAGGACAACGTAGCTGCTAAGGGCACACGAGTCATCTAGTGGCTCTGGACTGGGAATCTGAGAGCAGACTGAGGAGACAGGCTGGAAGCCACAGAAGTACAGAGGGGAAAGATCTTCACGGGCCTCTCATATCACAGGCTGAAGAGTTTGGGTGGTTTCTGGACATCAGTAAGGACAGGTTCCAAGGTCTGTGACCATGGGGACTCTGATCAGCTTCACACATGGGACTGTCTCAGTTAATCCGCAGTCCTCTAAAATACATGCTGCTGCCGCTGCTGATGACGATGACGATGACGATGACGATGACGACGATGAAGATCGTGGTAATGAGGACGGCAGCGTGTAACCTCGGGTCTGTCCTTAGCCCTCTCTTGTCTCGTCCTCCACCAGGTTCAGTGAGCTTTGCGGGAAGAGCCACGTGGCTGGCAGCCTTTGGCCCATAGGGAAGGGCACAGCTGCGGGGAAACAGAGCTTTGTTCTCTGCAGTGGGGGATCCCAGGGTGGGAGCCCAAAGCTGTGATGATGTCTGTCCCCTGGGCAGGGGTGGGCCAGTTACAAGACTGCTACTGCAGTTTGTGGGATGTTAACAGTGCCTGAAGCCCCGTACAGGGGACGGGATTGAAGGGGAAAAAAAATCTGAGACCAATTCAGAAAGTGAAACAGATAGGTGTCACTGTCCATTTAGTGCTGTGATCCTGCCCCTATCAGGGACCTCGCAGTAGCTGAACAGATCACTGAGTGCAAGCCCAGGGCAGGTGCCCAGCACAGAGGATGACACAACAGGAAATGCAAGGGTCAGACGGAGTGAGGTCGGAGAGGTGGGGGTGGGGCAGCTGGTAAAGGAGGGTGAGGTGGCGGGAAGGGGAGAGAAGGAGCAGGAACGGGTCCATCAGGAGGACCGCCTTGGGGGCGTCAGGACTGTTACTCCTGCCTTTTTCTCTGTGGCAGGAGGGAAGGAGGGAGAGGGCCAGTGGTGACAGCAGGCTGGGACTGGACTATCCACAGCAGTCGTGTACAACTCGTGTGTGTGTGTGTGTGTGTGTGTGTGTGTGTGCGCGCGCGCGCGCGCACACGCACACGCGTGCGCACAGGAACAAATGTTAAATAGGGGACAGGGCAAGTAGGAGATTCTTCTCCAAAGGATGAAAGTAAAAAAGCCTGTATCTTCCAAGCAAGTTTCAGACTGTCAGCTTTGAGGTTCATTTCTCACCACGTGTAAAGGCACAGAAAGAATTCAACCCCAGGAAATGAAGATGTTTTAAAAATGACAACACACACACATACACAGCAAAATGAAAGGGAGCTGCAAACGGCTTCTTCTCCCACACGGTTGAAAGTAATTTGACGTTTGACATGACCAAGTACCCGAAGTGCAGGCCAGAGTGACACGGCTGAGGTGACAGTCACACCGTTTGTAAGGAGTTCTTTGGGCGTGTTGATGTTCAAGGCCACAATACCCCAGAGGGCTCCTGGGTCGATCATCTACACTTGGAACATTGTGTGTGTTCTCTTTGCACAAAACAGGGCCCACTTCCAAGACGATACTATATTCTTCCCATCAATATAGCTTGATTTTTATGGGTGTTTAAAACCATATTAGCAAAACACACTGGTACTATGGGTAGGCGTTGAACTGGTTCCAGGGTACCAGTCTGGCAACATCCTCATGAGCTCAAAAGCCCTAAAATATTGCCCTTGAATTCCTTCCCAGACACACTGGCCTTGCTAATGTTGCAGTACTCTTGGAAGAAGTAAGATTTTCCTGAAGATTGTGAAACATTTTAGAGAGAACAGCAGACCTCCCTTGGGGGTGGGGGAGTGCTGACGGACCCTCTTTAATTTCAGACTGTCTTGTGCAATGGCAACTCCTACCTCATCTTGCCACCAGGCCTCTTGTTTTCTTTTTCACCATTCACATACTTTTAAATATGAATGAGGCAGAAGGCGTAAAAATTAGGAACCAATACCACACATACCTTGACCAATGGTGGAATCAGGAGAACCTCAAATGGCCTAACCACGAGATCCCTTTCCCACCCTGTTCCTGCAGACAGAGTACCCCGCCAACCAAACAACTCTCTTACGAAACAGAAGGGTGCAGTTCAGGGTTATCCCTGCATGACACGGTTCTATTCTTCGCTAGTCACAGAACCATCCAATCAAGCCAATCGCATCTTCACAAGAACCAGCAGGCAGTGCACTGTGTTGATGCCACAAAGCCTGCTTCCTTAGGCCCTTGTGGTTCATTCTTCACCACAGCAACACTCATATGACCTCCATGGGCCAGTGGCTCCTCTCTTCAGACTATGAGTGATAATAACAATAAACCAGTCTGAGTGCATCTGTCCAGTGCCAGATGCCCTGGGTTTGGCCATCTCAAAGCCTGCAAAGAGAATTCCTCTCTCACCACTGGGCCAAACAGGAAGTAGTTAAAATGACAGGAGGCAAACTGATCTTAATTCCAACCTCTGGTCCCCCCAGGTTTTAGCTAGGCAATTAGCAAAAACTATTTTAACTTCTCAGAGCCTGAGTTCCTGCAAAAGTAGAGCAGCATCCACTTTAGGGGTGGGTGGAGAGAAGAAATGGGATAATCTATTCCACAGAACTTTGGTGAGATCCTAGGGGCAAGGACTGTGGGGAGGAACTCGAGCAGAGTTTCTGTTCCCAGATAACTGATGTTCTAATGGTGATGTAAACAACAGAAGGTTTAAATATTAATGATGTGGTTATAGACAGTGCGAAGTGCTCTGAAGAAAAACTCGCCAAGTCACAGGTGTGGGATGGCGTGTGTGTGTGTGTGTGTGTGTATGTGTGTGTGAATCATGAGTATTAGTTGTAAGTATTGTTAACTTTAGTAACTCCATGTTTGTTAAGCTTCTCCAGTTTAAAAGGTGGTGTGTTTCCTTTGTGGAATTCCTGAAAGTTGCAGTTTCTTGTCTCTGACCTTCAGATGTGTGGTTGTCTGGGTTACTCCTACCCACAGTGGTAGTTTTTGTTGAGCCTGTTTGCTCTTTTCCTGTGTGAACTTTCATTTACTATGGTAACCCCATCCCATAATAGTTTGTGGTTTTTTGCTTTAAAAGGCTGATGCTTGCCGGCAATAAACGTCGCCTTGATCAGACTCTTGGCGTCCTTCCTTTCTCTCTGCCCCATCTCCACCCCGCTGCTCTTTCAGGTTTGAGGCACTGCTGGACAGTGCTCTGCGTCGCCGGCTCGCGACATGTGTGGGTATTAAATATGGATATTAGGGTAGATCCTCTTGGGCAGGAACATGAGATCCTTGCCATATGTCTCGAGAGGGCGCCATTGTATAATTTGGGGACAGTTAATGCTATGTGGAGGAAGAGCCTGTGCAAATGTCCGGAGGCGTGAGCTCACCAGACATATTGGAGCAATGGGAAAGAAATCAAGGCAGCTGAAGTGTAAGGGAGAGGGCCTGTGGTACTTAAGAACCAAAGTCATCATCCCCAGGAAGCCCTCAAGCGTCAAAGCCCTCCCTTTCTGACCACTGCAGCGCATCACAGGAAATACCGGCTCTGTAAGATTCTAAATCAGCATTTCTCAAAAGGGGAGCTGAGAGGAAGGTGAAAGGGTTTTTTTTCTGAACTAGTGAAAGATTAAAGAAAAACAGCTGATCCAAGATCAGAATACAAAAAGAGCAAGACCGAGGTTCCACTAATAGCGATCATGCTGGGAACTGCTTCAGTGCATAATTAATAACCACTTGAAACCAGCACCTCAACTAATGGAAATACTAAGTTTCGAACAGTTGTTTTTAAATGCCGAGAAAGAGCTCAACATCTTTGGAGCTTGGTCGGGCATCACATCCCCTTGGATTTGCATCTGATCTCCATTACTCTGTAGATAAACAGAAGTTGGGCAGAGTTCTCAAATGGCACAAGACTCAACTTCCTCATCTATCAAATGGGGGTGCTGCTACTGCTGCAGCTAATGATGATGATATTGATAATCATGATCACAATAATGATGATGGCAGCATGGATTTTAGAGGAGTAAACATTAAGTGAAACAGTCCCTGGAAAATTCTTAGCACACCAAAATGTGTGAACCTGATCAGAGTCCCCAAGGTTAATAAATTAAATATTTCCTGAAACATATGCCCATTATTAATCACTTGGGTTTTTTTTTCCAGTGCAAAGATCAAAGCTACAGGTTGCTTTGGTTTACTTGTGACACATTCTGAGTTACTGCAATGTTACTAAATAAGGATTTCTGTTTACTATCAGTTCAATGTCCATTGAGGTTAAGAGAGTTACACAAACTGTGCAACTGTGTTGTACCATGCCTTAATTTTTTTTAAAGGAAAAAAGTTTTAGTTAAATGAATACAGCTTGCCTCACAGGCACAAGGACCCAAATTCAATCCCTGGTACAAAATAAATGCATAAATAAATAAAATTAATACAGCTCTGCTATAGAAACTATAGAGAATATAGACAAGTATTCAGAAGAAAATAAAAGTCACCTATAACTTCATATACTTTGATCTGCCACTTTTTTTCCTTTTAGGCTTTTCTGTATTGCTTTTTACAACATAGTTCATATCTTACATGTGTTATTTTTATCATAATTTTCAAGTTAGTATTATATCATAAGCATGAGTATATATTATTCCTAATTGCCATAAACACCTTTAATGGCTACACTGTATTGTTTGGATGTACCATGATTTTCATAATCAGAGTAGCCACTGAGCAAGAGAACAGTGATGGCAGGTAAGGCAAAAATAGGTTAACTGGGGCTGGCATGTTTTATCTCTAGCTTTCTTTTCTTTTTTGGTACTGGAGATCAAACCCTTGATCTCTAGTTTTCAAGGCTGATTGTTTTCCAGCTAAGTCTTATTTTGGGGGAAACCTGGTGGTAGTACAAACTACAGAGCACAAAAACTGTGACCACAACCTGCAGCATCCTGCCCAAGAAACCAACCTCTGGTCTGCCATCACCCACCCATAAAGCCAGCATGCTTTAAATCAGACTTGAAGGAAATTAGACTGCTGTCTCTAGTAACAATCCAAGAAGCTAAATAGAAACTTTTGTAACAATTGGCCTTAAACATTCAGGACTTGATTAGTTACTGACAGGTTCCATAATTTTTGTCTCCACTTCTTCCTACTTGGGACTAATTAGAGAAAGCCCAATATGTGCTCCTAACCTCCCACCTAGAATACTCATGATCCATCTGGAGCTTCCCAAGCCAACAGCTTCCTAGTATCTTTTTCCTACCATCAAGTTTTCCTACTCTTTTTTTCTTGCCTTTGAGTTTTGGTCAAAAATGGCAAAGGTGAACTTTGCTACAGCAAGCTCTGCATAAAGGAACTTTGTTCTCTTTTAGTGAGCTTTTGCTTGTTCCTTGTTGGACACCTTCACGTATGCTCTTTGTGTGTGGGAATGGACTAGAAAGGAGAATGGAGGTCAGGGATCCACAGGTACCACATGACATGAACCAAGAGATTCCCCAGACTCTTAGAGGTCTACAGAAGATAACATAAAACATGAAAAACAGCGTTGATTTTCATTTCTTCCCACATTGTACCTTTCTCTTCTGAAATCTCTGGTATTCCTACCCCTTTCTAGGCTTCCCTCAGCTTGGGCCTGGGGACCGAATATCACTCCTTTGCCACGTGGAGGCACAAGGTGTAAAAGGAAAGAAGTGGCAATGTGTCCCACTTTCATGACCGACTAATGAAACAGAGGGTCAGACAGATCCTTTCAAGGCTGCTGCCGAAGGTAAGCTTCTCTAAGAAACTCTTGATGGGGCAAAGGTCAGGTCTTGACTTTAGATATCCCTGTGCTGCCTGGTTTTATCTCTGTTAGAGCACAGTTTAAGTCAGTGTCCTCCTTTCTAACCACTCAATGCTGAAGATTAAAAGAAAAATAGTTTCAATGATTTCATCTTGCTCTTTTTCAGTGAAAATTACTTTTCAGAACTATTAAATCTTCTGTGAAGGTTATAATAGAGGACTTAGGTTCAGTTTAGCCATTTATTAAGATATAGGCTACCAAACTCCAATAGAAAAAATAAACAAACAACTCACAGTTTAGTTGGATTTATGCACAGTCTATCTAATCAATCAGTCTGTAAACATTATGTAAATGTGTGTAAACTCAAACCTAGCCTGGATGTTACCTATGCATTATTATGTAAATGATCAATCTTCTTAATGTAAATATTAATACAAAGCTGACATTAAACACAAGTTTACACAGCCTTGCTGGTTGAAGTCAGCTTGATTTACATTGAAATGTAAATAGCAGTTGTGTTCTTTATGCGGCTTTGGAAAACAGACTGAATAGATAGAGGTCACTGAGTGGCCAGTCCTCAGCAGTTCCCCACTCATTCCCAGCCCTTTGATCCATGCAGCTCATGAAGAATTTGGGTGGCCACTCATCCCCTCCTATGGATGTCCTTGATTTACTATTCATCTACCCAGAGTGGAATCTCTCTAAGACCACCTTTAGGACCAGGTACCCAGTCTTTGAAGCAATGATGTAAGGAATGTCACCCACCAGCTTTCACTCCAACATTAGTCAAGGGCTAACAGGTGAGGTGTTTAGTCCACAAGATTTGCCATAAGGGAGACCACTGGGCAGCTCTGTGAGGGACAACTCTTAGTCCCCCAAGCCCAAGCACCACTCTATCTTCTCCTTCTCCTGGCTGGCTTCTTATTTTTAAGTCTGTTTTAAATGGCACTTCAGACAAGCCCTTCTGGACCATCTATTCCAAACAGGCTGTTCTCTAGCATGGTGCTCTGTGTATTACATGTATAAATCTTGAGGTGATGACTTGTTTACTTGTATGTATGCTTTTTCCATCCTCCCCAGCTATAATTTTGTAGGAGTGGAGCTACCTCTGTTTACCACTTTGTACTTAGTGCCAGGTTTGTGACATGTGCTTAGAAAGATTTGTTTGCACATATGGATGGATGGGTGGGTGGACATACACATTCAAATGATCTTGTTTAGCCCAAAGATCTGCATCCCTTTTCACATGTAGCCTCAGGAACTTAATCAATTCTGTCTTTCCCTGAAGACCTAGTACCTTCTCTGAATACACTGATAATATGCCTGGAATCCCATAACTATATCTTCCACCATAGCTATATTCTGTTGTCTAAGCTCCCATCCATGACATGATAATAATAGCCAAGAGAGAAGCAGCAGCCAACACTGCCTTAGTTTCTTTGGGCTACTGTAACAGAGTGCCATAGGTTAGGTGGCTTATGAAGATCAGAAATTTGGAGGCTGGAATGTTCAAGATCAAGACTGCAACAGGTTTGGTATATGGTGAGGGCCACTTCCTGGTTCATAGATGGCTGCCTTCTCATTGTGTCCCCATATGGTGGAAAGGGCAAGGGAGCTCTCTGGGGCCTCTTTCATAAGGGAATCAGTCCCATTCATGAGTCTAATACATCATGACATAGAGGTCCCAAATCCTAATGCTGTTGCACTGGAAAGTGTGTTTCAAAGTATGAATTTTGGGATGCAGAGAACAAATAATCTGTAGTAAATCCTAGTAGGTCCCAAATATTGTACTAGATACCTTACTTTCATCTTTTCTGAACTCTGACTTTCAAAACCTCTTTTTCAAAAGGCCAGGCCTTTCACAAGGAGTCCAAGGTAAATAGCTTGGGCTGGGGGCAGTGCAGAACTCAGCCAAGAGTCCAGATTTGAAGTGAGCTGTCTGAGTTCAAATGCTGGCTTTACAAGCTATGCACCTGGGAAAAGACACTGTTGCTGGTCCTCCCTTTCTGATTTGTAGGACGAGCATGAGAATATTTATTTTTCAGGATTGCTGAGATCATTAAAAGAGGCTGAGAATATAGTCCAACAAGAATTTGGTCAATGTTAGTGATTATTTCCAACTCTTACACAGAGATTCCAAACTCGAGATCAAGAATTAGGTTTGTTCTCTGGCTTCTTTGCCCTGCTCAAATCTTTGGCTGTTTTTTAGCTCTCTGTGTTACCTGGGTTCCTCCAAGTGGAGAATTTTTATGGGGTGTCCATATGGTGCATCCATTGAGATCAATCACCCTAAGCTGAGATCAAGCAGGTAATGACCCAGGGGCCTAAAGGGGGGAAAAAAAGAGGTGCTAGAAACAACCAGAAACTACTCTTCAATACGCAAATTAGTCCTAACCCCAAAGCTCCTGAAACACAGGAAGTGGAACAGAATTCCACCAAGCCACAGGCGGCTAGTTACTCACCAGACTGTTCATCAGGCGCCTCTATTTGCGTCTGTCTCCCTGGCAGAGAAGGGCTGACATCTTACTCATCTCTGTGCCCAACTGCCAACACAATGCTGGCACATGGTGGCTGCCCATTCACTATTTGTTGAGTGACTTCCTAACTCCTCCCACCCAGACCCATTGGACCTCTGATTTTGTTGGTGTTGTATGGGGGAAGTACTTTTAAGGTTTCCTTTGATCTTCATTTGGGTGCAAATCAGAGGTACACTGGGAAGACAGTTGTACACATATCATTTCTCCCAGGCTCTCTCTTCTCTAAGTCGGTGACCAGAGCTCAATCAGCTTCAAAGAGTCAATTCCCGAGTGCTCTCTGTCATGAATAGGAGCCAACAACCCCAAGAGCTCCTTGCAAAGGCAGACACCAGCAGAAATGAGAAACTTTCCATTGTCTGTAGCAAAAGAAAGAAAAGCTAAAAAAGGGGTGAGAAGGTAGGGATGAACTATTATCCCTACATATTATTAATAATGCCACCTTTGATTTGAACAGGGCTTTCAGATTTATAAAATACTCTTTCCTGTATTGTCTCATTCATCTCTCACCACCCCCTCTGAGGTATTATTATAACCAATTTACAGAAGGGGAAACTGCTCAGAGACAGGCCACAAGAGCAGTCAGAAGCTCATAGAATCAGTTCCTGGTGTCCCTTAGTGAGAATCCACATGTTCCCTGATGGCTTTCTGGGATATCTCAAAGTAAATAGGATGCCACGGTGATCATCTGGATGACCTTGGCTGAAAGACTATCATTGTTTAGCTTATTATGGATTAACAAATCCCTTTTCCAGTCAAAGGAGATGCTAGACAGGATGGGATTTTCCCAAAAGGATTCTTTAGAAAGAGAGCCAGAACCTTTACCTTCCACCTTGACAGTCCCCAGAGACAAACTGAAAGGACCTTGCTGAATGTCTCATCCGAAGGGTATTTGCCGTGCTGGCTTCATCATTCAAAGCAGGAAAGGCCTTTGTCATGGTCAAATGGCTTTAATGTGTTTTGAATGCTACATAAATTCAAACTTGATGGCTCATTTATTTGTTGGATTGAAGTTTTATACAATAAACTAAGCCTTGGTATTTACTAATAACTTGTGCACTGCCCTTTGTTTGTTTAGAACAGCCAGAAGGCATAGAAGTTGACCGAGTCCCTCATGGCCAATGTGATGTCCCAAGCCTGGCATTTCCTGGGACAGTTTACAGGTCAGTGGGAGAGGCAGTGGGAGGGTGACTGCGAAGGGGACAGGGGACACAATGGGGAAGTGGGAGAAGGGAAAACTCGCAGGCAGGTGTTTTATTTCAGACTCATTTGGACACAGCCCAACCAGAACAGCTCCAGCCACTGCATTCAGTGGGCTGGGAATTTGGAACTTTGAGTGACAGGCCAGGCTTGGCTAGTGACTTGTGGCATGACCTTGGGGGGTTCATTGCCCTCTTTTGTGTCTCGCTGTCTCACTCTGCAAAGAAAAGAAAGCCTGCAATAAATTCTACTCGTGTTCAAGGTGAGTGTGAACTATTCTCCTAGGACAGTGATGGCAAACCTTTTAGAGACTGAGTGCCCTAACTGCATCCCAAACCCCACCTATTTATCGCAAAGTGCCAACACTAATTAAACCTGACTATCTGACGCCTGGTTGCTGGCGCGATGCTGGGGTGACTTGGCTCGGATGCTGACAGAGAGGGATCTCATGCCCGCTGTGGCACATGTGCCATAGGTTCACCACTAGCATAGCAAGCTCTTTGCTCTTGGCCTTCCCCTCCCCATAAATAGATGTCTTGTGCAAAAAGCCCACTAGGTATCTGTGCCACAGAATGGGGGTAAGAACACAGGCTACATTGTCAGAACTGAGTGTGAGTCCAACTCCACCACTCATATAAACCTGAACAAGTGAGGGAGTGGTTTTGAGCTTGTTTCCTCCTCTGTAAAAAGGGAATAACTGTATACATGTTGTGATGTTGCTGTGCGAGGGAAGTGACAACACAGAGGTCAGGCTGTCACTGTGATGCCGAGAGAAAAGGAAGGTCTCCTTAGAGACAAGTCTAGTGTTAATTAGAGCATTATGTTTTTGAAGTCTGGGACAGAGCAGAAACTCCTTAAGGAGAAGGATCTTGTGCTTCTGATCTTAGTGGCCTGGAGCACTGGGAGATGTGGACCACCTACCTCCCAGAGACAGACAACATGCCTACTGCTCAGAGGACTTGATGAAGAGCAGCCAGACCTTTGGGATCATGTGGAGGGCAAGGCCCCTTGGACCATGGTGGCAGTGGCATCTGGATGTCTGGCTGGCTAAGCATGGTGAAATGAATCGGGGGGAGCCAATTTCCTAGGAGCCCCTTCTAGAACCAGGGGCCTCGGGGCTATCTTCCCAAATGAGGGGGGATATTTCTGCATTCTTGAGACTGTGATGGGCAGGACCTTAATGATTCCTGAGGTGCCTCAAAACAACTTTCTTGTCCCCTTCAAAGGAGACAAGTACTTGGTTTCTTTATTTTTTTAATTTTTAATTTTAATTTTTTAAACTTGGTTTCTTTTTAGTGGCACTAATTTCTTTAACTTCACCTCCTTTACACTTGGTTTCTTTTAGGACAAAATTTAAGTTTTTCAAAATTTTCTGCCCTACTTTTTGCTCCTGATTGTCACTGTTCACCTAGCTAAAAGCAGCCAGCAGTACCCATGCCACAGCCTGAATGTTGGGCTGATTAAAATATCCTCTACCAGATCAATTAGTCCACTTCATCTCAGCCTCACACAAAATCTCAGTACAGGGGCAGAGTGTAGACAAATTTTTTGCCACACATATCCTCTATTCTAATCACTAATAGTCTTTGTCCTCAATGAAAACCTCTGAAGTCTGACTTTTACTGTTTGCATTCCTATCAGCATTCTGATCTTCGGTGCTCCAAATAGAATTGTCCATCAGGCTTGCTTACAGTACTCTCAGGTTTCTCCAACACATCTCCAAATTTTTCTAAATTCCTCCTGATCTAGGGATGATATAGGAGAAATAAATGTAACTCTCAACCTGATAGATATCTGATACCCAGAGTTCATGTTCCCTCAAATCAAAGAATGAATTCTAAAGAACAATGGAAGCTAAGAGTAAGAGATATGTATTGAGGGATAGGCAGTTCCTGCCTAAGAGGGACAGGATGGGACCCAGAAAGTGAGTTTCTTTGGATTCCACTTAGGGGAAAGGCTTTATAAGGCAAATATATAGGTGGGTATGAAATCCCTAGGTAGGTACAGGGTGGGCCAAAACTATTATCAACCAATAAGATTATAAGTATAGTACTTTAAGTAATACTGATCCAATGGGAAAGCAATTCATGTAGCAAGTGTACTTGGAAAAAACAAGGATCTTTCCTGGAAGGGGTGGGTCAGGAGGTCTTGGCCCGCCCCACCCAAGGTGACTGATGCCTATTTAGAATATCAATCATTATGGCTGATCCCTTGGGGAAGTACATAGATATAGTCATTCCATCTTTATCTTGAGGCCTGGCCTTCAATAAATGCCACCAGCCACAGTTGTAATGTGTTCTTACCTTCTACACAGACTTCCCCAGGGGTCTAGCCCTGTCTGACTGCCTATAATATTTCTAACTAACTTAGCTGACTACAATACTCCCATACACCAATTCCAAAGGCTTCTAAACCACATGGTTAGTTAAAGTCACAGAAACCTCCTCACTTCTCTGGCACCAATTATTGGTCAGCCTCCCTGTTGCTGAACAAAATATCTGACACCTGTAATTGAAAGGTGACGTTGTACTGAGCTCGTGGTTTCAGAGGATTCAGTTTATGCACAGCTGACTCCAAGGAAGTAACACTGTGGCAGAAGAGCATGGTGGGCCAAAGCTGCTTAGTTCATGATGGCCAGGAAGCAGAGCCAGGGCACACGGCCAGATTATATTATCTAAAGCCATATTGCCATCACTCGTCCAGATACACCTAGAAATGTACTTGACTGCACCCCAGGCAACTCCCAGGCCAATTCAGTGGACCAGTGAGATTAACCATCATGCTCTCTTTCTGCCTCACTGTATGATATAGGTAACATTGTGTCTCCCCCAAAAGATAAGTGAAATCCTAACCTTTGATGCCCCATGAAAATGGTTTTATTTGGGAATGTTTTCATTTCAGGTAGAATCAGTTAAGATGAAGACTGGGGTCTTTTCAGGAGGAAAACTTGAGCACAGAGACAGAGAAGGCCTTGTGATAATGGAGGAGACTGCAGTTGTGCAGCTGGAAGCCAATGAATTCCAAGAATTATGCAATAGTAGAAGTTAAGAGAAAGGCATGGAACAAATTCTTCCCCAGAACCTGTTCAGAAAGAAACAACCCTATGAATACCTTGATTTTGAACTTCTAACATCTGGAACTGTGAGACAATAAGTTTTTGTGATTGTAAGCACACCAATTTGTGGCCTAATGTTAGGGAAGCCCAAGGAAATCGATACTGTGTGTGACAGTCAATGCTGTTTGTCACCAGGAAGGTGCCCACAGATACACTGAAAATGGCAATGCAAAGTCTGAAAAATTGTGGGACCTTGGGGAAGCCCCTTCTCCTCTTGGGGCCTCAGTTATTCTGCCTATAGGATACAGAAGATCAGTAGTTTTCAAACTATGTCATTCAGAACCCTAGAAATTCCAGAAAGAATTGCCCGTGGAAGGGGTAAAAGGTGGGGCAAACACAACCTCCAGGCCCCACCCCTAATTCCATTCAGTTCTCTATGAATAACTTTATCATTACTGCACTCTCTTAGGAATTTGTTTTACAAAAACAAGGTTTAAAAGCTCAAAGAAGGCTAGGGATTTAGCTCAGTGGTTCTGCCTTCCTGTCAAGTGCAAGGTCCCAAGTTTGATCCCTGGTAACTACAACAACAAAAAAGCTGGAAGACATTAGACAACCTCTAATCTTTCTAACTAAAGTCCATTCAGCTCAAACATTCTGCTCTAAGAGGTCTCCTGGCAGATAAAAAGTCAGCAATGGTTGTAATCTTAGTTACTTTCTCATGACTGGGACAAATTCTGTCACTCTCAACTTCAAGCAGGACAGGTTTATTTAGGCTCATGGTTATAGTCCCTGATCAGCTGCTCCAAGACACATGGACATACTGGAAGGGATGGGCAGTGGAAGGCTGCTTACGTCATGGTGGCTAGGAAACAGAGACGGAATAAAGGCACTGAGGAGGGACCTTCAAGGCCACACCCCCATTGACCAGCCTCTTCTGACCAGAGCCCACCTCCTAACAGCAAGTCTGCGATACTGCCCCCATGACTCAATCACTTTCCAAAATACCCACTTATGAGCACATAAGGCTCTTGATCAACATCTAGATGTAAACTTTAACATTTGAGAACAAAGAAAAGTGAGATAAAGTCTGTAAGGGGAAAGGAGGGGAATCTGAGCTATGACCTAGGTTCAAGCCACAGCTGGCTCAGCTTGTGCAGAAAGGACAGGCTGCATGAGGAGATGGATATCAAGAGTTTGGAGTCAAAAGGCCTGGGCCTACTGGACTCCAAACCAGTGGTTCCCACCTAGATGCTTGAAAGACTCATCTGGGATCTTTTAAAGAACACTGATCCCAGGGTCCCTTTCAAGAAAACTGAAACAATCTCTAGTGGTCTGACTGAGGCACTCTGTCGACCCTGAAGCATCTACTCCTGAAGAGGGTGGACCATAATTGTCTTGCTCCCCATTATAGCCTTAGTGCCCAGAATACAAGATCAGCAGGCAAGCAAAAGCAAATAATTCTTAATTAACAAGTGATTTTTATATTAGCACTAGACAGGTTTGTGTCCCCAGGTTACTGAAACCTGTTCAGCTTTCTTATATCTAAAATGTGGAACGTAATTTTTATTTGGAAGTGATGCTTTGAGAATTAGCAATATGGCAGGTACTTTCTAAAGCACATGGCAACTGTGGTTGGTTATAAATGGTGGTACAATAATTAATGACAATTGATGGCACTCAAATTTGGACCCCCAAAGTTCAATTTGGGGTTTCATTTTGCTTGCCTCAGTCAGTCAGGATAGGATAAATTACGCTGTGGTGGCCATACCCAAATCTTACAGAAACAACACAGCAGAGTTTATTTTTATCCATGTTACTTATCCATCCCCAGTTGGCTAGGGGCTGTCAGAGTTTCAATCACATGGAACATTACCAGTCATCACAAGAGTGAAGCAGAAAACTGTAACTTCTTCCAGAGTCACTTTTGGTCACAGCTGATTGGCTAAAACTAGTTATGTTTCTATCATGCACAGGGGCCCAGGAAATATAATCACACCAGTGCTAGAATCAGAGAATGGAAACTTACATTAGTGAGCAACAAAAATGATGAGCACAGTTGTTCTCTAAAGCCCTGCGTGGCTTTGGGCACTTAAATCCCAATAATGATAGCGAGAATCAGTGACAGTTGGAGACACAAGTTGCTTTGGGGGATTTGTTGTGTTTGAGACTCAATAATAATTCCTGGGGTTTTTTGGAGTCAACATTCAGATGTATTTAAACCTTGTGACATAATTGATGTGATATAATTTATATACCACAAATGTCACCCCTTTTAAATGTACAATTCCACGATTTTGATAGTTTGTGTCCTATGAATGTATCTACTACATTTAATTACCGAGGAGCCTCGGTCCACGAATTTAATTCTTTCCACAATTCTGGTCTCAAACCGAATTAGAGGAGAACCGAATCAGATTTCCCCTTAAGGTCAGCATTGCACCTAAGTGAATTTCATTCACTTCTCATTCATTTCAAATTCTCTTTCAGTCTGACTTTTTTTTTTTAGGCAGGATCTCCCTTCATAGTTCAGACTAGCCCTGAACTCAGTACGTAGCACAGGCTGGCCTAGATTTAGGTCTCCCGAGTGCTGGGATTACAGGCATGCACCACCATGTTCAGCTCGGTCTGATTTTTGTCATTTGTTTCACCCCTTTTTTTTTCTTGCTCAGTTTACCCAATCCTTTGTCGGGTTTCTATATTTTTTTTGAAGAACTAATTATTTAGCTTCATTGATTTTTCAAATTTTTTTGTATTTAATTTATTTGCACTGTTTTTTATTATTTTTCTTTATTTGCCTTGGGTTTCTTTTTTTTCTAATTTCTTGGAAACTTGAGTTATTGATCTGAGATCTTTATTTTCTTATATAGTGTTTTCACTTACATTCCTTTTTTTTTTTTTTTTTTTTTTTTTTTTTTT